TATTGAAATAGAAGTAATCTCCTCTCGTCTGTGCAGACCAAGGCGACAGGCCTTTGAACAGGTCGCCCTCCTTCGCTGGCCTGAGCCCACAGTGTGGTGGAGCCCAGGATTTGATTTGCAAGCGTGCAGTATGGTGATGGAGCATGGGTTTTGCAGTCTGACAGCATGTATTAGCATTTTACCTTTAGTTCTTGGAGTCTCAGTTTCCTCATCTGTAAATGTAGAATAATAACGTCATTGTCACAGGCCTTTTTGCGAGGATCCGATGAGCCAAATGTACGTGAACGCGCTCATCTCAGAGTCAGACGCTTGGGATGCGCCCGTAGGTTCCTTCTTCCCCTTCCCACATCTCTCCTCCATGCCTCTCCCAAAAGCTCATGTGAAAAAGGAAAAAATAACTTAGTAGAATATATCACGACCTCAGACAATTTAAGTTCTGAAAACTTGCTTCTTTAAATTCTAAACAGAATGCTCTGGATCTCATCGCTCTTGGGTATTGTATTAGTTCCCTGCTGCTGCCGTAATAAGTTATCACAATTGTTGTGTCTTAACACAACACAGACTTCTTCCCTTACGGTGCTGGAGGATGGAAGTCTGACACAGGTCTCTCTGGGCGAAAGTCAAGGTGTAGGCTTGTTTGTTTCTGGGCCCTCTCCAGGGGATCTCTCTCTGCACCCTTTCCAGTGCCCAGAGACCACCTGCATCCCTTGGCTCATGGCCCCTTCCTCCATCAGCAAAGCCAGCAATGTTGCATCTCTTTGTGCCTTTCTGTCTCATCACATATGCCTCTGACCAGCTCTCTGATCCCTTCTTCTGTCGTCCTCTTCCATTTTTAAGGATTTTAGGAATGGTTACATTGGGCCCAGCAGTCTAATCCAAGATAGATTCTCTATTTTAAGCTCAGCTGATTAGCATCCTCAATGCATCAGCAGCCTTAGTTCCCCTTTGCCGTGTAACCTAACGTATTCATGGGTTCTGGGGATTCTGACATGGACTACTTTGGGGGCCATTATTCTGCTTATCACACATATTTGAAAAATCTATACATCTTTCTTGTTTCTTATTTGATTCGAAAGATCTTGTGTATGGATTTAAAAATTTTTCTTGTTTGAATATTTACAATTCAGTTGATATCTCTGTCATAGCACTTATGCATTATGTCAAAATGATCTATTTATTTATGTGTCTGTCTGCCCCACTAAAACATATGCTTCTATAGGGAATATAGCTTATTTATCTTTGAGTTCCCTAAACACATCACAGAGACTCATATCAAATAGATACTTGATCAATGATTATGGGATGGAACTGAATGAACTTTATTTATTTTGAAACAATTTCCTGTATTGTCTTTTTTTTTTAACTCTTACAAATGCCATCCAAATCCCAAGTGCCTTTGCTTTCGCAAATTTCATTTGTCTTTCCTTTTACATAACAATTTGTCATTTCACGTATTCCTCACATACATTGAGAAATAAACGATTTGTTTCATTCTAAGTGGAAATGCACACAAGAAACACATGAAAATGAAAATAATAATAAAAATTATTTTCAGGTTTTTTAAAAAGGAGAATGAAGGTCTGTGAAGTTTCTTAATGTGTATATATATATAACTAGGATTTTATTGCAAATGCAAAAGGTGAAAGGAAATTGGACATTATTTTCCCAGGAAACTTCAGTTCTGCTAACAATGAAGCATTTGGATGATGTATGATCCATGAATGTGAATCAGTTTTCCCTAATTATGTGACTTCCCATTGTATTTATTACATCAGTATCTGCATCAGTATAAATAATTAAGCCAATTTTTGGTTGAAGTCAAACTAATATTTACTGCATTATTCTATGAATTTGACAACATGCATAGAACAGTCTGGGGAAATATCTTCTGCTTTTATTGCTTTTCTTTCTTCGTCATTATTCGCTCTTCAGTTTTGCTCACCTGGGTGCAGAAGAGTGAAATAAAATCATCCTTGGCTCATTCTCAGATCATCCATTAAAACTGATTGTTTCGCCAACCTAAATAGATGGTCCACTAATTGCTCCACTTACCATGTACTTTCAGTTTTGATAATTTTCATTAATGGCCTTCTCTTTACTCTGCACTCATAACTTCTCTTACATTCTTCTTTTCATCGATTTTTCTGCTCCTAATAATCAACATTCTTTATTGCCATCATCTTTGCCAAAGTAGCATTCCCTTTTCCTTAGGAAAAGCAGGCATAGACCTGCCTTTAAATCAAAGCCCTGGCACACAGAAGGAAACCTCTTGGCTTTTGTGACCGCAGTGAAAACACACAGTCATTATTGAAAATTGACTTCTGTTCTTCCGAAGGAAGATTTACCTCTTCCCTGGGATCTGCTTCTGGTTATGCCAGGCTGCGCGCAGTGACTTTGTATGAGTTAAAACTGGTCACCAGGATCAGTCCCTGCAGGGTGCGAGCTTCAGGGCCCAATAATTCTATCATTTCTAGTGATACTACAATTTTGAGATAGAGTTGGAATAAGTAGTAGGACTGTGGTTTCCTCCAATTAAAAAAGGAAGATTTAGATAAAATATTTATTTTTTTCTTTCTTTTGCTGGGAAAGGTTTGCCCTGAGCTACCATCTGTTGGCAATCTTTTTTTTCCCTCCCAAAGCCTCAGTACATAGTTGTAAGTCCTTCCAGTTCTTCTATGCAAGCCCCCACCACAATGTGGCTACTGAAAGACAGTGGTGTGGTTCCACGAGTGGGCACTGAGCCTGGCACATGGAAGCCGTAAGAACCCTGAACTTTAATCACTAGGCCATTAGAGCTGGTTCAAAAATATTTCTTTTTAAGAACATTAATTGATTCTTCACCATTTATTTCCAAAGTAATCCATAAAAATGCAGACTTAAAAAAGAAAAATTATCCATAATCTCACCAACTGGGGTGACAGCATTTTAGAGGTTATTCTTTTCAATTTTTATATAAATTATAAATATATGTCTGTGTATACACACACACACACACATATATATAAGCTTTTCTATGTGTATATTTTTTTATTTTTAAATAACAAAAATGCCATTGTGTACACAATCTGCTCCCTCAGTAGAATGAAGTCGCCTTGGGGAGACTGTCTTCCTGTCTTCCTTATCATATTGTCTGCTCTAGTCTAAGTCCTAGAATGGTATCTGGCATACAGTAGACTCTCAATAAATAAATCGATGTTGACTAATTGCTTTTATCACTGAACACTTTGCTGCAAGCCTTTTCCACAATAATTAATATAGGTCATGGGAAAATGAATTTGACCTGATCTTACTGAGGAATGTTGAAAAATAGGACTTACCACAAACTTTCAGTTGTAACATGAATAAGTTCTGGGGATCTAATGTACTGCATGGTGACTGTAGTTAACAATATTATATTGCACACTTGAAATTTGCTAAGACAGTAGATCTTAAGTGTTCTCACACATATACAAAGAATGGTGATGCTATGAGGTGATGGATGTGTTAATTAACTTGATTGTGGTAATCATTTCACAATATGTGTGTATATTAAACCATCCTGTTGTATGCCTTAAATACACACAACTTTTACTTGTCAATTATACCCCAATAAAGCTGGGGAAGAAAATCAATGGACAAATGTGACACCATGTGTATTGTCAATAGACACACTGTCAGAGGCAAACATAGGTGTCTACGTCTGCTAAGAGCACACAGCTGAGTCTCTGGGGATTTCCTTTGGCCAGAGAGCTCCCTTGCCCACACTGTTCCTCCTTCTGGGGGCAGCCACACCCAGTGACTGAGAGCTAAGGAGACACCAGGTCCCAGCTCTCTTGTCTCAGTTCACTTCAGCTCTGAAGGGCTATCCCAGCTGAGAGCTCCTTGTGGGATATCGGCTGAGGTTTCATGGCAAAGTGCGACACAATGCAACCTCTCTCTTCACGAAGTTCTGTTTCCCACCCTTCTTTCCTCAAGTCATTCCTGACAGCAACTCCCAAATAACCAGCTGAAAGCCTCTGTCTCAGGGTCTATTTCCCAGGGAACTCAACCTATGTGACAGTTAGTCTGTTTCCAAACATGTACAGCCATAAACAGTGCTTTGCTGAATACCCTTGTTCAAACATCTTTCTTCCTCACTTATCTTATTTACTTAGAGTATATTTCTAGAAGAAAAATTTTGTGATTAGAAAGGATGAACATTTTTAAGGCTTTTGATTACAGGTGGCAGATTGACTCTAGAAAGGTTGGACAATTTACAGTTTTACTGGCAGAGTATGATGGTACCCATATCCCCATGTCCTCTTGCCATCACTGGGATTTAATTTGTTGGTTTGACTTTAATTTTGATTAAGTTAGTGGAGAGAAAAAGCTTTGTTGTTACTTTGCATTTGCAGTGCATGGATAACTAGTAACGTTTAAAGTGTGTTCATGTAGCTATGGAACATTTGTATTTCCTCTTTCGTTAATTTTCTGTTATTGTCCTATGCCAGTTTTTCTTTTGAGGGTTATATATCAATAAAAAAGGAAGTCTAATCCTGTTTATGTACACTATTTTTAACCTTTCATAACATTGTTATTCCTGATCTATATTTTTACTTTAATTTTTTTTAAATGTAGAGAAATGTTTATGTAGTTAAATCTGTCAAATTTATCTTTTTTCTGTATAAATGTTGCATTTGGAGTTATGCTTATAAAGTCTTTCCATATCCCTGAGCGTGTAAACGTTTACCTCAATATTTTTTAATGCTTTTGTGTTTTTAAAATATTTTAACCTATTTCAAATTTATTTTGCCTTCAACCAGACAATACAAACTGGTGGCCTGTGCTGGACTGGGCCTGCAGATTGTTCTGCTTGTGGGGTGGGTTATTGTGTCCCCCAAAAGAATACGTTCACGTCCTCATCCCCAGTACCTGTGAATGTGACCTGATTTGGAAATAAGGTCTTCGCAAATGCAATCAAGTTGGGATGAGGTCATACGGGATTAGAGTGGGCCCTAATCCAATGACTGGTGTCCTTACAGAACACGAGAAACTTGGACAGGAAGACACAGAGAGGAGCTGTGATGAAGGAGGCGGAGGGTAGTGATGCATCTCCAAGCGGAGGAACACCAATGACACGGGAACACCAGACGCCAGGAGACAGGCAGGTAATGCATTCTCCCCCAGAGCATCTAGAAGCAACGAAGCCTGCTGACACCTTGATTTCAGACTCTTTACCTCCAGAACTGTGAGAGAATACGTTTCTGCTGTTTGAAGCCGCCCAGCTTGTGATAATTTGTTATGGCAGCTCTAGAAAATGAGTACAGCTTGGTTCACACACAGTTTTAAAAATGTTTGAAATGGTTGCCAACAACTAAAAATTGGAAGTTTTCATATAAAAATTCAAATTTCTCTTAAAGCACCCAAACTCAGAGCCCTCATGTTAGTGGGGTCCCTGACTGGACCTGGAACTTGCTGTCTCTGCACACGCAGAGAAGTTACGTGCTCCCCCATCACCTGCAGGAAGGGAGGGGTCTACCTTTGTAATTAAAATTTTTTTTTCTTTTTGTTTCTTAATGGCAAACTTGTCCCAACACCATTTACTAAGTAATCCAACAACTCTCGACAGATATGAAATGCTGCTTCTATCGTCTACTATGTGTTCATATAGCACTGCAGTCTATTTTGGGGCTTTCTATTCTGATCCTCTTCTGTGTAAATAGCCTCTCATCAGCACTGCACAGTTGGACTTACGGCAGCTTGAAAATATAACATTAAATCTCTTCTGGCAAGTAGGTGATCAAAGTTTCCTTTAGTACTAAAATTGTATCAGTTAGGATACGTGAGTTTAATAGAAGTGGACACAGATTCTGCTTAGTAGACTGAGAAAGGTGACTCCAACCACTTAAATAGGTCTTCCCACTGAAAATGTTAGCATTAGTTTTCTGGCTATGGATTGGCCTCCCACTACTGATTACTTTTGCATGAAAAAAGCAATTTCAGTAAACAGTCATCTCATTATCATTGCAGTCGTGAATATCACTTGTCGTCTGAAAAAATATGTGGCATGAGGATATGGAAGAAATTTGTCAGTCTCGTAAACTTCATTAAAATGTATGTGCATGTCCATTTTCCTCTAGTGAAATGTCACCTTCTTGAATTTTGTATGCACAAAATTTGAATTAATAGAAAAAGGAATACGTTAGGGAATCCTGTAACCATATCTGTAGAATACGTAAAGGTGTGCTTAAAATGGTTAATTTATGATGATGTTCAGAAAAACCTTCTATTTAAATTTTTTTATTTTTATAATTTTTTAATTTGAAATAATTATAGGTTCATAGAAAGTTGCAAAGAAATGTATAAGGAGATCTCGTGCACCTTCCCACAGTGTTAACATTTTATGGAACTACATTATAATATCTACACCGGGAAACTGCCATTGGCACAATTCACAGACTTATCCCGAGTTCACTGTTATCTGCACACTCATTTGTGAGTGTGTGTCTCTGTGCAGTTTACCACGTGTGTGGCTTTGCATAACCACCACCATAATCAAGATACTTAACTGTGCTGTCATCAGGCTCCTTCCTGTCACCCCTTTATAGCTACGCCCATCCTCTCCCCAATCCCTAACCCCTGGCAACAACTCGTCTGCCCTCTAGTTCTATAATTTTGTCATTTCAAGAATGCTATATAAATAGAATCATACAGCAAATAAACTTTGGGGACTGGCAATTTTCACCAAGCATAATTCCCTGGCGATTCATCCTGGGAATGTTCATTCCTTTTTATTGCATCTGGTTCTCCCTGGTATGGATGGACCAGCGTTCATTTAATTATTCACCCATTGAAGGACATTTGAATAGTTTCCAGTTTGGGTCTATTACAAATAAAGCTGCTGTGAACATTCACATACAAGTTCCTGTGTGAAAATAAGTCTTCATTTCATTCTGAGATACATGTCCAAGACTGCAATTGTTGTGGGTTGTATTGTAAGGACCATTTTTAGTTTTGAAAGGAACTGCCAAGCTATTTTCCAGAGTGGCTTACAGAGAAGCCATTTATTTGAAATAATCCTATTCTTATGTTTTCATTCCTTTAAAGCATCTTTATTTGTTCCCCGCTTATAAGATAATTTGTTTCTAAGAGGTAACATAAATACAAATTTGATAACATTCTGTTATTTGTACCTTCGTTGCAATTCTATCTTCATTTTCTATTGCTATTTATAGTTTTTAGCATTCATTTTCTCAGCTATTTATCTATTTATGCTTTAATCATGACTCCTCATCACCTGAAAAATCAGGTACCTCAGAAATAGGCCCCGAGGTGAGGATTCTCGTGTGTGTGATTTCTGGGCTTCGGCTGTTACGAAGAAAGCTGCTGTGAACATCTGAGTACAGGTTGTTGCGTGGCATAGGCCTTCTTTTCTCTTGGGTATATACCTAGAAGTGAGATTGCTGGCTGTATGTTAAGTGTATGTTTAGTTCTATAAGGAATATCAAATCATTTCCCAGAGTAGCTGTGCCATTTTGCTTTCTCACCAGCAGCAATGTGGGAGAGATCCAGTCGCTCTGCAGCCTCATCAGCGCTTGGAATTATCAGGTTTTTCCTTCACATTTTAATAGATGTGTAGTGGTCTCTCACCGTGGTTTTAATTGGCATTTTCCTAATGGCTAATGATGTGAGTATTTTTAATATACTTATTACCTTCCATATAACCTCTTTGCTGAAGCGTCCAAGTATTTTGTTCAGTTTTAAATTGAGTTATATCCTTTCTTTCTGTTGAGTTTTGAGGGTTCTTTATATACTCCTTTGAGAGTTCTTTATAGATTCCTTTGCCATATAGGTGATTTGCAAATATTTTTTTCAAGTTTTGTACCTTGTCTTTTCATTCTCTTAACTGCATTTTCACAGAGCAAGTTTTTAATGAAGTCCAGTTTATCTTTTTTTTTTCTTTATAGATTGTGTTTTTGGTGCCATATCTAAGAACTTTTTGCTAACCCCAGTCACAAAGATTTTCTTCTAAAAGTTTTATAGTTTTGTGATTCACATTTAGATCTGTTTCATTTTGCATCCTTCTTTGTATAGGGTGTGAAGTTAAAGTTGAGGTTCATTCTATTTTTTCTTTTTTGCGTATGGATGGCCAGTTGTACCAACACCATTTGTTAACAAACCTGCCCTTTATCCATCGAATTGCCTTGTCCCTTTACCAAAAATCTATTGGCTCTATCTGTGTGGGTCTGTTTCTAGACTTTTTATTCTGTTATTCTTTAAAATGTGGCTACAGGAAAATTTTAAATTACTATGTGGCCCTCATTCTATTTCTATGGATAGCATTGCTCCAGAGTATGACTGACAGCACAGAGGGCTGGCTTTTAGAACTTTCCAGACCATCCCTGGCTGCAGGTTACCCTGGGAGAGGGCACGACCTCCTGGTCATTTCCGGGCGGTGGCTCTCATTGCTGAGGGCAAACCTCAGATGGTTGCCAACATTTGCAGCAAAGAGGGGGGCAGAGGCAAGCGGGGCGGGGCGGGGCGCCACCAGCAGCGTCTCAGCCCTCCCGGCCTTCACCCTCTGCTCTTTTCCTTTGTGGTTAGTGCTCGCGTTCTGAATGCTGCAGTTCCTTCTTCACATTCCATTCTTTCTCTCTTCCTCTTCCTCACATTCAGCGTGAATGCTCTCTTATCGTCCTAATTCACTTTCTCTTCTTTGTGCACCTTAAATTATTTCTTTCTCCCTTCTGTTTTTTGCCTTTTCCACATTTTTTTCCTTTATTTACCCATAACTTTTACCCACTTAATTCTGCTCCTTTTAATATTTATTCTATACAAACATGTGCCATTTTCTATCTTCTTCTGACATATTTTCCTTCAGAAATAGTCATCAAAAACTTATGACCACATGTAAATACAGAATAATAGCATAGTCCCAGGTAGATACAAGGGTCATGCCTATTTAGCAAGCAGTGTTGTAAGAGGAATATGGATGGCCATGTTTTTTAAACTCCCAAAATATTAATTTAAGCAGTAGTCAATATACAGTTACAATAGACACTGAAAATGATTTAAAAGTAGCTATTTGGGGCCGGCCTGTGGCCGATGGTTAAAGTTCTGCATGGTCTGCTTCAATGGCCTGGGTTCGAGGGTTTGGATCCCAGGCGTGGACATACTCCACTCATCAGCCATGCTGTGGCAGCATCCCTCATGCAAAAAATAGAGGTAGAGGAGAATTGGCACAGATGTTAGCACAGGGCTAATCTTCCTCAAGCCAAAAAAAGGGAGATTGGCAATGGATGTTAACTCAGGGCAAATCTTCCTCATCAAAAAACAAAAAAGGTAGCTGGTAATTTACATTATTCTTGGTATATAGTAACCTTCTTCCTCACATACGTTCAGAAGATCTATCTTCTCTCCTAATCAGTTCAGTAGACAACAGTGAAATAAGCATTTATTTTGTGTCCTTTCTACCTTCTGCTATAAAATATGATGATTATGATAGTAAAATTACACGTTTGATGTAATTTGAACAATCCAGTGGAGTTAGAGCTTGTTCAGTTTATCTGATCTCATTTGTCTATACAGGATGGTGGCACATGGGAAAATTATGTTTATAAGAAGCATTGAAAGGATGAGTAGTAAGTTCTGATTTTTACTCCCCAACCAAAGACATATTGAAACATCTAAACACCTAAGCACGCCTGCTGTCTTCCCCGGGGGCACAGCACTGTGGCTTATTTTACAAGGTCATCTTGCCATTAAAGTATAGAATTAAAGCTTGTTATCTGGCCATAACAAGAGTTAAATATAAGGGAAAAAAGGTATTTTATCATATGGCTGCTCAAAACTGCAATTTTACAACTGATTTCATTTGTGAAAATTATTTGTGTAAAAGGTGCATTCATCTTTTGAGGTGTGCTGTGATTAACTACATGTTAACTATCAAAATAGTCCTTCAGGGGCTAGCCCAGTGACATAGTGGTAAAGTTCACACACTCTGCTTTGGCAGCCCTGGGACCTCAGGTTTGGATCCCGGGAGCGTACCCACACACCGCTCATCAAGCCATGCTGTGGCGTCGTCCCACATATGGAAATAGAGGAAGATTGGTACAGATGTTAGCTCAGGGCTGATCTTCCTCACACACGCACACAAAATCTTTCACATTTTTGAGGTTCCTTTTTTCCCAACAGACCCAGCAGTGACCTTGAATACTTCTCCTGGCGACTCTTCTAGGAAACAATTTTGCCGTTCCTTACGTTATTGTTGCCTTAGTAATTTATTCCAAAAAGTGTGGGCCTTACAAATACCAGCCAGGAGGCACTGAGGCTGCACCTGTAGGGGCTCAAGGAGAACCCCTATCTTAAAAAGCATTCAGTGTCATGGGAAAAGAATCTTTTTGGACTAGGCTCTCTCTGCTTTCTGTTCCAGAGACTTCTCACATTCTGTTAGGCTTTTGAGTTTTCAGTTAAACTTCAGGTGGTCATGAGGCGAGTTGTGATGCACAACTACTGCAGGGAACTTGAAGTTTTGGGGGTCTTTGGGGGGGTTTTTAAGAGAAGCTGAGCTGCACTCAGGTCAATGCCCCAGTCAGCCTGGGTCTGGAATAAAAATTCCTCGCGAGGTGTTTAGCTTGGGGGTAATCCTTCAGGAAGTCATGGATGGTTTGATAAAATTGAAGAGGCTATTAAATTCACTTCATATTTCCTAAAGGTTGGCTCCTGGGCTGTGCAATGATTCTGTCTGAGATGAAAGGCTAGCGTTCTACAGCATTTAAATTAGCCTGCACCCCCAAAGCAAAGTGCAGATGAGGCATTCCAGGGAATTTCACTAATGCAGGAGTTCTTAACTTGAGGTTCATGGTGGGCTTGAGCCATTTATGAACAAGGTCCAGTCTTTGTTCTCAAGGAGTTTATGTTCTAATGGAGGCAGAAAGGTGAGAACCCAGTGTTTATGCTATTTAGAGGTTATGTCAGGGTATTAAGGAAACCCAGAAAAGGAGGAGCATCTGCTCAGTTTGGGGGACAGAGAGGGATGTGGGAGGGCTTCTCAGGGAGGTGTTCTAAGATGAGCTGAGAACGGAGCATGGGCAAGCAGGTCAGAGCAGGCATGGGGCATTCCAGGCAGAGAAGAGAGAGTGTGCAAAGCCACAGAGGCATGCAAGAGCTCCGTGCTTTGGAAGAACTGCCCGGGATTCTTTTTGGACGGACTTGCGGCTTGGTTGTGGGGGTTGATTGGGGGGCAAGCGGAAGAGAGAGCCAAGGCCAGATTGTGAAGGATTTAAGGAGTCTGTAAGTGGCGGAACGCTAACAAATAATCTAAACACAGGACCGGCAGGATGAAATTTGTAATTTCAGACGACAATGTAGAGCAGTAGGGAGGATGGAGTCTCAGGTCACATTGGAGTCATGGAGAAAGGAGTTAGGATAGGGGCTAAGACGTTATTTATTTTTAAATATTTGCAAACATAACAACACAATAAAAAATGGAAAGAAGTATTCTTGTGGGGAATGGAGAGATGGAGGAGTGGTAGGTTGGTAAGTGGTGTGAATTAGCAAACATAGAAAGGAGATCTTTTAGGAACAGACAACTGTTTCAGCCTGTCTGGATTTTGATTCTGCTTTTGGGTCTCTGGGTCAAAATTAAGTTCAGCTGTGATTGATTGAAAGCACAAAGTAACGATTCCTTAAGTGAGAACCCTTCCCCATGAATATGGACAGGTTTGCCCGGGGCTCTATGGTGATGCCGTATCATCATCAGAGACCCAGCCTCCTTCTTTGTTACTCCACCATCCACAACACAGCTTCTGCCTTGTGGACAAGACGGCTGCTCCAGTTCCACCCTCATATGCTCAGGAATGCGGACCGAGAGCCAGAGAGACTGCCTCCCCTCCTGAAGGACCCCTCCCAGAATTAGCACATCCCACGTCTGCTTTCCCCTGTGGTCTAGCACTTAGCCAAGTGATCATACTTCCTGCAAGCAAGGTTGCAAAGCATCGTTTTTATTCTGGGAGGCTGTGTGCCCAGCCAAAGTCTAGGGCTGCATTACTGAGGAGGGAGTGGGAAATGAGAGACCAACAGCAACCTTTATCACAGTCCCTCGGTAACGTTTCCATTAAACAAAGAGTAGGCTTTGTGCATATCTTGTTATGTTTCTCACTAGGTATTTCACCACTTTTATTGGAATTGCAGAAATGAGTCTTCTCTTCCGTCATATTTTCTAACACATTTTTGTTTACTAACTTTGTGAGTGATTTTTCTTTATTAATTCTATGTATTTTCTTACTGCTTCTAATAATTTTTAGTCAATTCCCTTGGGTTTTCTCTGTATACAAGTCCATTATAACAGATATCACAAATCTAATTCCAAATATGCTCTGTTATTTAAAATTTTTATATTTCCTTTACTTGCCTACTTTTCTTGGTTAATAACTCCAGAACAATTTTAATAATAATTGTGATGTTGATATCCTTGTTTTTCATTTTAATAGGAATGTATCTAGTATTTCTTCACTAAGCATAATGTGTGTGTGCACTTATATATGTTTAGTTTTATATATTTTAGACCTACATATTGAGATTTTTTTTTAATTTAAGAATGCTGTTTCATCAAATGCCTTATAGCATCTATAGAGATAATTATATAATTTTTGTCTTAATACAGTAAATCATATTAATATCCTAATAGTAAACTGTTTCCTCATTTTAGCTATGAACTTTACTTGGTCAAGATATATTATTCTTTTTGAGCCGGTGCTGGTGGCCTAGTGGTCCAGCATGCTCTGCTTAGGCAGGCTGGGTTCAGATTCTGGGCATGGACCTATACCACTTGTCTGTTAGTGGCCATGCTGTGGCAGCAGCTCACATAAAAAGAAAAGAAGAAGACTGGCAATGGATGTTAGCTCAGGGCAAATCTTCCTCAGCAAAAAGAAAAAAAGAAAGAAAAGAAAAGAAAAAAGATATATTATTCTTTTAGTGTGTTGCTAGATTCTGTTCACTAATCATTTATTTAGGTTTTTGCAATCATGTTCAAAATACAGATTCACCTGCAATATGTGTGTGTTTGTGTTTTCTCTTTGTCAAATTACTGGAATCAAGAATATAGTCTTCCTGAAAATAATTTTTAACTTTTCTTTTTATTTAAAGTTATGGATCAGCTTAAAAAGCATTGGAGTAATCTTTTCCCTACAGGTTTGGTAAGCTTTCCCTGTGAAAATGTCTGGATCTGGTATTTTTGGGGGGATAATAGGTTGACCATTATAACACCTGGTCTATTTCAATTTTCTGTCTTTTTTGAGATCCAATTTGGAAATCTTGTAATTTGTATTTATATTTTGGCAATTTTTCTATATATTTTTTGGAAAGTCATCCCTTCCATCGAGATATTCAAATTTATTGGCTAGAATTGAACAGAGTCGTCCCTTCTGATGAGGTATTTTGAAAAAGATATAAGATGCTATCAGGGAACACGACAGTCTGTGCCGTGGTACACCCTCTGTTGCATCCTAGCCTTACTGTTTTTTGAAAAAATGACTTTCCCTCACATTTGCAGTGAGTTTGCTAATTCTATCAGCTTCATTATTACAATGTCGATCTAGATTTGAATCTCAATTTTACTGTTTCTGATCTACGTTTACAATTCCTCTATCCTGGGTGACTTCGTCCTTTAAATGTTTGTATCAATGGCAGATGCCTACCCTGCTTAGATAATGTTTCTCTAACGTAAGTCGAGTTAATTCCTTAATCTAATGTAGCCTTTGCTCCTACTTATACAAGCATTTTGATATTCCTCTCCATGTTTTCCTAGACTTTTCATCATGGGAGAGAATTGCAATTAAAAAATTTTGAGGAAAACCAATTTTCTCTAAAGTAATAAAAACTATTCTTAAAAAACTACTGGTAGATTTAGCTACCAAGTCCCTGCAAGCAAGGTGACAGAGAAGAATGGAAGGATTATGACTTACAGGAGGGCAAAGGACACCCCAAGCTTCCAGAGCGTTCCTTGTCCGCTGACCTGTTTAGAGACAGGATGCCTATCATAGGGCTGGATGTGAGAATGACATTCTTGCTCACGTTTGAAAGTTATGAAGAGACGACCCTGCTGTGGAACCAACAGAGTATAAACACTAAGCAAATAATACCAATGTATTTAAATGAACTTTAGAAAGTTAAACCGACGTCCACGTAGTAATATTCTAAGTGGCTGTCACGAGTGGTTACCAGGAATACACAAGAAAGGGCTCCTGGAAGTGATAGCTGGCGTCTGAATGGCAGGTCCAGGCAATGTTGGGGTGTGGTTAGGAGAAGCCATTTAAGGGACCTCAGCTGTGTCACCATTAACTTCCTAGGGTGAGCTGGGAACTGACCTGTGCCCTGGGGATAACACAGATGAAAAATAAACAGTTACAGCAGAATGTAGTGTCTATGGTCTGGCATTATCCACCTTCTGAGAAGGTGAATTAGTTGATCTTAAGGTCAGAGAATGAATGTGCTAGATGACTAGACACAAAAGTGCGTGAGGTCAGGGGCATATATTAACTCATTCAATCCCTATATGACTGTCAAGGAGACTGAGGCACAGAGAGGTTAAGAACATTTTTAAGATCACACAGCTAGTGAGGGAGAGCTGGGATTTGAACCCACACTCCTGACAGCTTTAGCAATCGCTCCCCTTGCCTTGCTACAAAGATGAAGCGTGTAAAGGCATATGGTATGTACTCATTAATTCTAACTGCCATTCTTATTACCTTGACCTTAAGAAGTATTCCTTGATGTAGACAGCCTGAATTTTCTTCCTGATTATGAGAATGATCTTTCCAAAGGAATTGATTCTGCCTCCCAAATACCTATCCCTTCAGTTTGCCTATTTCTAAGTCGTCAGGTATTCAGGCTGCCGTCATTTCTGACCAGGTTACTGCCGCAGCCTCTAATTCCTCCTGCTTCCGCTGCTGCCCCTTCCCATCCTTTATCCACAGGGCAACCAGTCATTTTGCTAAAATGCCAACCTGATTTCATTTGTCTAATTCCTCAAGTATCAGCAGACAATCAAATGATTATGGAATGAATGAGTGAATTAAACACAGGACTTCGTTGGCCGTCAGTCCCTCTGTTAGGTAATGCTCAGATAAACACTACCACATTAGACTCTGTCTCATCTTTTTCCAGCTTCCTTTGCTAATGATTCCCACTTTCAAGCAATTAATGCTTTCAATATTTCACTCAATCCATCAAGTGATGTTGGGGGATTTAAAAAGTAAAATGAAGAATAGTGTCAGTACTGTGGTTTAACTTGGTGAGGGATATTTATACCCTTTATTTTCAAATTGCTCTCAAATTTTAAGTAAATGATTATGATTATCTCATATGGCTAGATCTAAGCTATATTTTTTCTTTTAATGTTGTTGCTTATCTAACATCAGTAACTTTCAGCAAACCCGTGTCTCTCACCACAACCACCATTATCACATCTCTTAGCATCGTCATCATGAGTCAGCCATCGTGTGTTAAGGGAAAGCCTCCAGATCTGACTCTGGAGCCCATGCAGCTTGCCTAGAGCCCCTCCATCCTACGTTATGGACTAAACTGTGTCCCCCTCACTCCCCAAATTCCTATGTTGAAGCCCTTACCCCCCAGTGTGACGGTGTTTGGACATCAGGCCTTCAGGGAGGCAGTAGGTTAAATGAGGTCATAAGGGTGGGCCCTAATCTGATAGGACTGTGCCCTTAGAAGAAGCAGCGACACCCGAGCTGTCGTCTCTCCTCGTGAGCACAGAGGAAAGGCCTTGTGGGGACCCAGGGAGAAGGGGCTATCTACCAGCCAGAAGAGAAGCCGCCCCAGAGACCAATCCCGGTGCCTTGGTCTGGGACTTCCAGCCCCCACAACTGTGAGAAAATGAATGTCTTCTGGTTCCCTTAAAACATGAAGCGATTTGCCTTCAGCACCAGTCTTAAGCCTAAGACAACTATCAGTAATGACCTCTCCTTAACAGTACATTTGGCTTATAATTTTATGACTTAGAGGGCAAAGGGAAAGTTCATCATATGAGTAAGTTTCAAAGCATATGAAATATGTCTGTTTTTACCCAGGGAGGGATTGAGAAGACAGGAAGTCACTGGGTGAAGATGAAGGAGCTGATGCTGGTTAAATGGAAAAGAGAACAGAAAGTGAGGCCGGCGGCGTGGGGGAGGGGTGTCAGGACGCACTCGCCCTGCTTCAAGGCCTTGTCTCAGCCCACACACTTAAAGTTGCTGGAAGATAAGCTAATTAAAATGGTGCAATAAGTATTTCCTAACCTTGGTCAAACAGGCACCTTAGCAAGTATTGCAGTAACTGGTGGGAGAAGAAAAGAAGAAGTGGACACATTTCATTCATTCTTCACTTTCTGCCTGGGTTTGGTGGGTGGTTTCCCCAGACCTGCACTCCTAGGGCCTTGACCCCAGGACGTTTGGGTGTCTGAGACCACCCACAGACCAGGGTGCTGTCTGGATGGACAGTAAGGTGGGTTCCAATTCAGTGTTTCAGGATCATCATTCTCAACCCACCCTCAGTCCACTTTAACCTGCCTCCTAGCCTTAGGCCATCTGTTGGTTCAGATTTAAAAAACTTTAAACCACCACCTAAAGAGGTATGAACACTGACTAGCTCCTAAATACCCGTTTTCTTGTAAAGGCGAGGCAATCGCGGCTTGTCAATGAAGGGTGGTAGGGAGGATCTGTGGATACCGGAAAATTCTATTGGTAAAGAAACTAAATACCTCTTTCTCAAGAGCTCTGGGCACTTAGGGTGGTTTCTGGTTTTTCATACCCACACCCCACCAGGGCCTCTGGTTGTTCTGGATTACGCGGCAGGTTGACTTAGTGATGTGGGAGCCAAGGAACATTCCAGAGCCGACTGATGCTGGCATGAGTCTTTCCCCGTACTCTGCTCTGGATTCTCTTCAGTCTGGCTGGACTGGGCCCCCAGCACCGGGCGCAGCAGGGCTGCCCTCGTGGGGCTGCAGCAGGTGCGGAGGGTGCTGCTGCCTGACACCCTGCGGCTGGCACCTCCCCAGGAGTACTGCGTAGGCTCTCCCCATCCAACCGCTCCATCGAACGACTCAGGGCTGCCCTCCTAGACAAGTGGAGGGCTGCAAGAACTTTTTATCTCAGTTACCAGAAAGCAAATTCAGCATTTTTCTTTCTCTTGACATCATTTCCTAATCAGGTTTAGCTTACGTTTGAGCCCAAGCTTTGAGTAAAAACAGCGCGCGTGCACTTAGCGCTCAGCCAACTCTTCCCTAAGCTTCGGGCGCAGGGGGGCGGGGCGGGGGCGTCTCACCGGCAGAGCCTCCCCCCGCAGAGCCCGGCCTCGGGGAGGATCTCGGGGAGGGGAGGCGCAGCGGCGGGGGCGATGAGGAGGACGTGGTGGAGGGGATCGTCTGAAATCGTGCTCGTTCCACTCCCGACGTGGCCGCGCCCCACTGCTCGTGGCAGCGGCCCAAGGGTATAAACGTGTTTTACAATCAGGGTTGCCAGGGCACCAAACACCCCCGCGGAGATGATAAGGGAGCTGGACAGGCTGCAGAGCTCCTGCTGGCAGAAGCGGGCAGGAAGGCACGGCCTGGACCAACTGCTGATTTCTGAGAAAACAACCCAGAGGCAATCACACGCCCAACCTTCTAGCATTACTTAGCGTGAGGTGGGTGTGTTGGGGGGGCGCGGCTCAACACACCCCTCTGAGATTCCCATTCTGTTGTTTCTCCCTCCCTTATTTTCTGTTCAGTTAGCCAGAACTCATCTCTGTAAGGACGATAAGACAGGGCTGGGCAGGCCTTTAGACAGTATTCCTGGAGCTGAGAGACACATGTTTGTTACTTCTTGATTATTTTATTCAACTAATTTTTTTGAGTATATATTAGTGCATGGCATCATGGTGTAGGCAAAAATATACATGTAACACAGATGCACAGAGATGTTCAGAGCTCGCTTTACGTAGAACAACGAATTAGGACGTTCTCAACCTGCAGAGATTGATTGCAAAAAATATATATGTGTACTCTTAAAAATATATCTGCTCTGTAAGAAATTCAAACAATTCAAAATGTAGAAAATAAAAAAGTGGAACTGGGGGCGCCCCATGGCCTAGTGGTTAAGTTCAGCACCCTCTGCTTGGGTTGGGTTCCATTCCCCACACAGACTGACACCACTCCCCAGTGGCTGTGCTGTGGCAGCATCCCACATACAAATAGAGGAAGGTTGGCACAGATGTTGGCTCAGGGTGAATCTTCCTCAAGCAAAAAGAAGATTGGGAACAGATGTTAGCTCAGGGCGAATCTTCCTCAGGAAAAAAAACCATGTGGAATTAGTCCATAATCTCTCCCTCCAGACATAGCCACAGTTAACTGAGTATATCTTTACTTTTGAAACAACTATTTGGGAGTTTTTGAAAAAATTAAGAGAACATTAAAAATTCAAAGGACATGAAAGCATTGGCTTTCCTGTTAGAGAAAATAATCTCAAAAAACCTTCCCTGATTTTATTTTGATATTTCACTAGAAATGATCTCATTTTACCAGAAAGATGTTCTTGGTTAATTCATATGTGAGATCTGTATCAGGAGCGGCTCCTGAATGGTCAAGGATATTACTGGAAGTCCTGCTGAAATGAAGTTTGCTCACCTGAGCTTAGTCCGTGAAGCTGTGTCGGAGTTACTCACCTTTGCTATTGCTCATTCAGGTGATGCCACACAGTGCAATATGTCTTCTAGAACACAACTCTGGCCAGGACCCTCAAGCTTGCAATTGAAGAACTAATTTCCTCTGACTGATAAAGCAAACATTTGGTGCGATGGCATCTAGTTTCCTGAAAGTCTGAGAGATGGGTTGCGATGCTGGAATCGAAGTGGTGACATACTTATCTGGAGCGGCAATAGGTTCCCTCATCCATGGAGCTGGCTCAGAAGGATGTAAAGACGCAACGAGTGTGTTCAGGGACTTTCCCCCACTAAAGATACCACCAAAATAATTATGAGCAGGACATTTGAGCGGAGATCACGTTTGGAATAGTTTTGTAAACGATTTTAAGGAAGGCCTTTGCTCTCTCTCTTTCATCTTCCCAGAATGCTTTTCCTCTCAGTTTGCCTATCAAAATCTTACCCATTCTTTAAAGCTGAGCTCAGATCTCATCTTCTGCATGAGGTCTTTGGAAGAATATTTTTTCCATTGCTCTTTGTACTTCTGCAATAGCACTCTTATTATAGTGAGTTGTCAGCTGTTTCTTTCGCTTGATAGCAAACTTCTTAAAGGCAAGAATTATTTATGTCTATAGATGCTAAGTGATTAGTTCAGTTATGTATAAGTAGATGTTCAATAAATATCTATTGAATGAGCATATATAGCTGCTTCCCCACAGGAGTGTAAGAGTAACTGCGTTGTCTGACTGCAGCAGTTGAAGACTTCCCCAGGGGCAATGTCTACAGCACAAGAGTGTCTAGAAAATAGGAAGGACATGGTCCACACCTCCTGATGCTTGCTGCTGTCATTTACACCTGCTTCTCCATACTGCTGAGTAATGAGAAAATCTTTTCTACTTTGTTATTGCTCTTGCCTTTTTTTCCTCGGGACTAATAATTCATTGGCCAAGCTAAATGTCAGTCATCTTTTCCTTCACTCTTTTTCTTCTCTTTCTGGTTCTTCCATCATGCCCTCCAATTTTGGCTTGTTTAGGCAAGATTAATGCTCCTGACTACAGGACACTGTTTTCTCTTTGCACAAATACTGTTCTGAGCAAGGATCCTATTTCTTTGGTGGCTTTGTTACAATCCAGTAACACCTGGGTATCTATTTTCCTTACCGGAAAAATAGCGCTGTCAAGGGATTCAGTGTGAAACTCCATACTTAATGACTAAAGAAGATATTGATTTGAAATACCATCTGTTCCAAATCTGACATTTTACATACGAGGAACCTGAGATCCCACCTGAGATGGAACAACAGGCAGCTGCTTTGCACATGAAGAACTTGCATTTTGCAAGTTGCAGTGTTCTCCCTGCAGAAGATATCAAGCTGATGTATTAGTGTCTCCCACTCTTTACTCCAATTTTCTTATCAGGCAACCATCAGGTCTATCATTGTTTCTTCATTTGGAGACAGAACTGGTAAGTCTTGGTCAAGCCCTGTGATTCATTTCCTTACTTTCAAGCAGAGGTCATAGCAGTTCCCATTTAGGGTTCTGCCAAGTGCTCCCTTTGGGGGCAGGGGATGCAGCCTGTGTCCTCTTGACCTAAAAGAGCTCTGTAGGGCGATGAGTCATTATTTCCCTAATGTCTTTTCCAAGTGCACATAAAGCTCACAGTTGATTAAATGATGGCGCAAGGTGTGGAATGAAGGCTGGCACTGGACTAGGAAAAAATGTATGTTTCCTTTTCCAAAGTAAAATATTTATTTTATTTGGCTCACAATAAATAGTAGGGGTAATTGTAACTAACAAAAGAAAAGTGTACTTTGGAGAGCTGGCATTGAACAGAAAAGAAAAAAGTACTTAGAGATGAAAAAACTTTACATACGTCCTATTTGTGACTTAGAGCAGTTTTATAGGGTTATAAAATTATCTGGGATTAGTAGCTTTGTAGAGTAATTTAGAATCACAGAATTTCAGAGCTGGGAGGTACTTTACAAAATAACTGATTCGACCCTCTTATATTGCAGGTGAAAAAAAAGAGGCCAAAATGTTTAGAGACAGGACCAGTTTCCCAGTTCTGGTGTACCTCCAATTGAAACGTTTAGGTGAAACACAAATCTTGATTGCCGTAGACCTCTAGAATTATCTAAACACAGGGAAGAAGCTGCAGCTGGCTGACTGTCCATCACCTTTCCTGTGTTTGTGAGGTTTGGCTCACAATCCCAGGGTGTCCATGCTGGGCTAAAGGGATGTCTCTCCTTGAGAAGCTCTGTGCTCCTAAACACTCTTCAAGTTTAACAGGACTTCTAGATAGGCGGGGGTTCAGGCTCCCTAGACCCCTCATGACTTTCAGTTTAATGTTCAGGTTAGTTTGGGGCTTCCCAGGCCTCTGAAGATGCTCTGGGAATTTGGCATGTGGTATCAAAGTGATGCTTAAGATGAATACTTCTAAAACATAATTATTTTACTCTTCTGCTTAAAAGTCTTTAAAAGCCCTTCCTTGCCAACACTGACGTCGTAGAGTGTAGGTTTTATTATTATTCAGGCATGGTGAAACCAAAAATCAGCAATTGCGATCGAAAAGATAGTTTGTGGGGGCCCACCCGGTGGCACAGTAAAGTGCACACGTTCCACTTCAGTGGCCTGGGGTCGCTGGTTCGGATCCTGGGTGTAGACACGGCACTGCTTGGCAAGCCATGCTATGGTAGGCATCCCACATGTAAAGTAGAGGAAGATGGGCATGTGTGTTAGCTCAGGGCCAGTCTTCCTCAGCAAAAAGAGGAGGATTGGCAGATGTTAGCTCAGGACGAACCTTCCTCAAAAAATGAAAAGATAGTTTGTTACTCTCAGTTCCCAGGAAGGGGCATGCCAAGCTCTGCAGGGCCACACGGGGAAGCACAGGTTGGGTCAGGAAGCAGAAGGAGTGAAGGGAAGGCATGGGCAGCAGCCTTTATTGTGGTTTCCTCAGGAAAGGCAAGGCAGGGTAAGCAGGCTTGGGACTGGCTCATCTCAATAATTTCAGTGGGCTCACGGGTATAGAGGCTGACCCTGGGATGATTAGGGCAGGGGAGTATTGCTTCCTGCTGCGTAAGAGCCACAGAGAGGAGGTTCTGGGTGGGTGGGCTCTGACTTGGTTAGTTCGTGTAGGAAAGGCAAGCTCCCAGGTGAGTAGTTTTCTGTCTTTAAGAATTGGCTAGCCCTGGAAAGGGCAGTCTCTCCCGGGTCAGTGAGGCCCTAGACGCCAGAGTGTCAAGAATTCAGAAAATAGTTACTCCAACTGGCATTTGCAGACGTGTGCACCTTGGAACAGTTTTCCTGGGAGATGCCCTGGAGTGAGAGGGTTCTGTTGTCCATTTTGACAGCTGCTGCATATGGCTCTCCATTGCCAGCACATTAGTAGATTAAGGTCGTTAGGGGAATCCTGCCTTGAAGATCCCTGTTAGTTTTTATGTAAAGTTTTCCAAGCCTATTTAACCATAAAACCCTTTTGAAAAACATAACATAGGTGAAGAATCCAGACTTTGCTTTGACCATAATCTGGCACTCATTTTCTCTCCTGAGGTTTCCAGTAGGAACCATCCATGGCAGGCAGGCTGGTTTAATTAGGGTCAATAACGAGCTTTTCTCATTCCTGCCTTTAAACTCTGCTCAGACCGGTTTTCTCCATTATGCAGGATTGTACCTCATGCCCCGTACCTAATCCAGCTCCTCTGTGAAGTCCCTGCCAGCTTCCCAAACCCGCAAATACACACCGTACCATGTGCCGGCCAGTCTTCTAAGTGCTTCAACATATCGACTGACTTAATCACCACAATAGCCCCAAGAGGCAGGCCCCATTTGTATCCCTATGTTATAGATGAGGAACTTGAGATACAGAGACGTTGAGTGCCTTGTCCGAGGTCACAAAGCTAAAAGGAGTTCAGGAGGTCATTGACATTCAATTAATGCTATTTGAATAAATGAAAATGTCCGTGGGGACTAGGTAGGTGCCTTCTAACGGATGTGAGTGTGTTAATATGTGCTTTAAATCAGAGGGAAGGAGTCTCTCTCTTTTTTAACCTTCTGGAATCTTATTGAGACTGCAGATTCAGAATTTGTTTACAACGATTCAAATGGAATTTTAATCTAAAGTTTACTTTGGCTTGGCAAGGTATTTTCTGAGTCCTTCCTCTGAGAGAGTGTAAGTTCATCAGTAAACAAGAACACAGGGAAAATTTTAAACCACTTAAACATACGCTTTGTAGTGTTAGCTTTTATACACGTACAATATACTGGCACTAATTCATTTTTATACATTAATCACAATGAACATTTCAGAACTGCATCAGTCAGAGTTCAACTAGGGAAGCAGACGAGTGGATGATAAATATTAAGAGATTTATTGCAAGGAATTGGGTTATGGGATTGCGGGGCCGGCTGGCTAAGGCTGAAATCCATCGGGCCAGCTGGGCATTCTAGAGCGGGCTGATGCGAGTGTCCCCAGCCAGCATTTCTTCCTCGAGGAAGCCTCAGTTCTGCTCTGAAGGCCTTCCAATGGACTGGATCAGGCTCACCCCGATTAACCAGGATAATCTCCCTTCACGAAAGTCAACTGATTGTGGACTGGATTCACATCCACAAAACACCTATATAGCGAGAGCTGGATGAGTGTTTGATTGACTAATGGGGGACTGCAGCCTCGCCAAGTTCGCACATCCAAAGACCATCACAAGAACCTTTACTGATCGTCATGTTATTAGTCTTTTTTTATGTTTCTATTTGTATATGAAAGAAAAATAGTAATTAGAAATATTTTATTGAATAAATAAGATGTTTTGATCATTTAAATGGGCTTTCCTTCAATTGGCCTGAAGCCATGTGACACGGTATGTTGGTATTTCCTCACTTTTCTGTCATCCTCTGATTCCTTTCTGTTCACGCTTGCCTCTCTTCCTTCATGGTCCTGGCATAAGCATCTCTAGTTTATATTAACCCTGCGCCTGGGTCGCCTAATTTGAAAGAGAGGCTAATTACAGTACCAGCCTCCTGGGGCTGATTGAAGGGTTAACAGAATTCGTGAAATCCCTCAGTCGACCGAGTGTCCGACCCACGAGAGCAGTACACTGTTGTAGTAATTGTTCTGAGTCCCTCTGCTTAAGCTCTTCTGGCCATGAACAGACCCTTGAGTGGCATACGTCCCTCTGCAGAAGACATCCAGAGGCTCTGACATTACATTCGGAAGAATAAAAAAATTGGCATTTATCAATTCCCTTCTAATGCAGAACATACCATTTTCAAAGACCTGTTTTCCATCAGCATCTTTCTGAGGCACTAGAGATTCACACCGTGACCGGGGAGTCTGCGGGACTAGCTTTGGAAAAGGCACTGCAACTTTGCTGCCAGGCCAGGTGGGCGGCCTTTCCCGGGGTGGAAACTTTAACCAAACTTGACATGGTTACACTGCTCATAAACACCGAGTATGTTCAAAGACCCTTCTAGGCATTAAGCCAGTTTTTCTAGGGAGCTTCCTTTTGACATAAGTAAGTGTGTTTTATTATCCTTTTGTTATGGAGAAAGATGCTAAGATGCAGAGAAAGGGCATTTTCTCCATGAATTAATGGAGAATTAATGGTGAGTCGTTCCAGATGTCTCGACCGTCAGTTGCCCTGCTATGGATGAAACTGGTTGTTACTGCACATTAAACTCACTCTTCTTTCCTGGTGGGCACCAACACCCAAACCTAGGTGAGGTGGTCAGGAAAATCTCTGATTTTCTTCCCAAATTCTTTTTTTCCTGGCACTCTTGGCAATGGCAGGAAAACCAATTTCATTTGCCAGTGATATATTCCTCATTTGCTTTTGGAAGAGTGCAGCAAAATTTCTTCTGGGGAAGAGTGACATTTGCTGCTGTTAAGCAGGAGCCAGGGGCTTGCTACATTACCAGTAACCCATTTGCAGAAATGTTCTGAGCTGTTCTGAGGCACGTGAGCGGAGGGGGTGAGACGAGTGGTGAGGAGGATGTTTTCTTTGCACATCCACCTCCATAAACTGTCCATGGCCATCTGGTAGAGACTGTCTATGCTGTTGTCCCAGACACAGGAAAATTATGTCTTATGCTATGAAGTCTCAATGAAGAGCTCCCGTTTCAGAGTTGACTGTGTACACAGAGCCAGCATAGCAGGCTCCCTTCCTTTATCTGTGTCCTTTTCCCCAACTCACATTTCTGCCTCACCTATGAGATGGCAGAGTCCTTGCATATGAGAAGTAGGTCTTGCTCCATGTACACCATCACACTCTATAGAGGAGAGCTCAGGACGGAACAGGTGTTCAGCAAATGCTGGTTGAGTAACTGAATTGGAGGATTTACTAAAGTGTTCTAGGTTTGCCTAAAGAAATAGCTAGTTTAAGAAGTTTCTTAGGACCCAAAGCTGCTAGGAACAAGAATTCAGAGATGGTTGTTCCAGGTGAAATGCCCAATAGTGGAACAGGGTTTCTGATGTA